CCATTGTCCACTTGGTGTTGTCCGGACTATACTATAGTTTACCGAACTCGTAATCGTGAGATAATAGGTTCGGAGGTATGGACGTTGTGTCCCTGGGAAAGGCACTTTACACGAATTTCTCATTTGGCTCGGTCTTTTCGGAGATGGACGATATATCCTGGGGTCCCACCTCTTAACCCTATCCGTACGTCGTATCCATACGACGTGGGGAAGTCTGTGCCACCACTTTCCAAAGAGGAAACTTGCTTGTTAATCCGATCCGTACGCTTTGCATAGCAGCCTGTCAAAATGATTTTTCGAGAAATACTGAAAATTTCATAGAGATCTTCTCGCTAAAAGTATTTTAAAATGTGAAGAATACAACCCCGTACGGATACAACAGGGCGTACGGATGGGGTTAAATAACCTAATAGCGTGATAGGGGCATAAAACCTATACCAATCTTTCAGCTACACAGCGGATCTTCTGGTAGGAAAGATCTACACCTAGCCTTCTCGGACAAGGGCGAAAAATCTCGGAGGTCCATTGTGCAAGTTGTGCATGTTAAAGATCCCTCTGTGGTCTAAAATCGATCTGAGCAGGCTTCAGCCGCCACCCGAGCAAAATTCAAAGTTTCCCACCAACTGAAAATGTTTAATGTGTCCCGCGCCCTCATATTATATGACCTTATGCAGCTGCGAGCGCCGTAAAACACTTACAAAAAAAGCCAGCAACAAAAAACCATATACAATTTCATCATTATGAAAGTTTGATACAATATACCCACTTTAACCTATAACATATGCTACAAGTTTGAAATCCACCTTCTTCTTTTTTTCAGGTAATCTGGAATCTGACGCTGACCTTTCACCTCTGACCTTCAAATCTCAGAGCGGTTGTCAGAATGTTCGCGTGTTGCTGTTCGCCTATGGGCCGGAAGGAAAGGGACGGGCAGACTATCTTAGATATAGAGCAGATTCTACAGGACTACGTGTGGAATGATTTTCTCAGCGTTTTGGGTCGGGTCCAAAGGAAATGTGTGAGGAGAAAAAACTACGTGATTGAAGTGCCCATGAACTTCTTTCATCTGGAGGAAGAGCAGAAGCCTGTGGTTCTGCCGAGAGTCCATATCTCCGACCTTGATAATCAAGACATCCGACACAGACACGTCATGAATGAGATCCACAGGAGGACGGGAAATGGGACCACCTCAGGGATGGCTCAATCCGAGGAGGAGGAGAAGAAGAAGAAGAAAAAGAAGAAAAATGTGCCACGAGATAAAAACAACTCGGAGATTTTCACAGACTACGTCAACGACACACCCACGGAACAGACGTACAAATTCCGGCTAGAGAAAACCAGGAAATCTTCGCTGACCGCCACCGTACAGAGAGGCTTCACTGTCGGCACGAAAACCAACTTCACTGTGGGTCTGCCCAAACTGACAGGAGGTTCAAAGGTCGGTACGGAGTTTGACCTTAGGTTCACGGTGACCAAGACCAACAGCGACCTCTGTGAAGAGACGGTGACTTTTGAGACGACCAGTGACATCAAGGTAAAGGAGGGGAACAAGTACGTGGCTAAAGTGGTCCTGGAGGAGACGGAGGTGTCCTACAACTTCTGGGCCTGGACTAGGCTCAGTTTGCCCAATGGTGAGTAATAAATATTAATGTTAATTATTGTGCGGCATCGTGGTAAAATCAGACTCGTCAATTTTGGGGCATATAGGGTTATTGTTGGTACAATATATCATCATAAAGCTTGTTCGTTAGTCTGAATTTTAAGTGGGAAAAAATGAGAGGTATCATGGTGAAATCAGACACTAATCAAAATAATAAAATCGAAGAAAACAGCATTTTCCGCAAGTCAATCAATTTTTATCATTTTTTTACGTCTATTTAAAAGCATATTGCTATGTGAATTTTACTTTTA